GTAGGTTCCTTCGCTTCAACTCCTCTTGACCACTGGACATTGTCTTTCCTCCCTGGCATGAGCTGCTGACCCACCAGCCCATTTTCTTCCGACCAAAGAAAAGTGACAATTCACCTTCTTTAAAAAGCTAACTATTTTCCTGAGTTTCAGAAGAAGCGGACATATGTTCCCAAGTAACTTGCAAGGTGCTATGATGGATACCCTTTAAACACAATGAATGACTTTCTAGCCCCTCTAGGACCTGGTGACGAGCTCTTCCCAGCTCTGAAGTCTCTGATGATGATTCATTTAGATCTTCCCCCTGCCATTCACCCAGAGAAATGACCTTGCAGCACAGTCAACGATCCAAAACCCATACCCGTCACGCTGTACAAGGTGGCAGCAAAGAGGGAAATTCTTCACCGATACCTCAGCCCATCGGCAAGGGCAGAACCCAAACAGACTGGTGATTCTCCGAGAGGGAGGAACTTCCTTTTCTGTTACTTATCAGATTCCAGGTTAATGTTTTGCTATTACCCCAAGTATAAAAAAAAGAAGAAAAATATCTCTATCACAGATCATGTTTCTAAATCTTAATATTTCTCCAATGCCTTTTTATCTCTAGAAGAATCCTCCTGTCACCGAAACACTCTCGCCCGGGCCACACTGTCAATTCCATTGCCCCTGCAATGACAGGAAGTGTGAGGAGGTGGCTACGAGGCATACAGTTCAGGGGTGACACAGTGACTTTATGCTGCTTGGTTGACGATATAATCCTCCCAGAGGCTTCCTGTTGTAATTCCCTTCAATTCTTCAGGCCCTTCAATTAGAGTTCCTCTGGTTACCACATCGTGTTTACCCTCCGGTCTAAGGTCAACTGTTGAATTTAGCCCTCTTGGTCTATGGAATTTCAAAGTCCATTCTTGATGGGCCCAAACAAACCGTTTTTTGGCTTCTGGTAAAAACTGCCCTCCTGAAAGCCACGTGTCACATCGAATAGGTCAGATTTCCCCTCAACTCTTCTTCTCAGACCTCTGCTTTCCTAAGACACCTTGTTAGGGCAACCGCCATCCTGAGAGAGTTCTCCTGTCCTCAGTTTGTAAAATGCTAAGTCTCTATTCTGTAGTCATTTCTCATCAGTAATCATTCTTTGGGAGGAGGAATATTTTCTTTTCCTTCCCCTAGAAAATAGAAGGGAGATTTTCTGCTATGTCATCTTGGTACAGAGTTCAATCTAATGAAAACATTGTCACAAATTGATCAAAACCACCAGGAAAGCAGACAAGAGCATGCTCAATTTCTGTAGTTTTTCTTTTTTGTTGTCATAATATTGCATGATACAAGTGAGTATTAAAGGAAAATGAACTTTCAGTTGACATATTGAAAAACATTATACTTAAAGAAGATCTTAAACAGCCAACTCAAACTATTGTACATGGACTTCTGAATAAGTTGGGAGTTTTTTTGTTTTGTTTTGTTCAAGACAATGTCTCACTCTGGTTGACCAGGCTGGAGTACAGTGGCATGATCACAGCTCACTGCTGCCTTGACCTCCTGGGCTCCAGCAATCTTCCCACCTCAGCCTCCTAAGTAGCTGGGACTAAGGCAAGCACCACCATGCCTAGCTAATTTTTACTTTTTATTTTTGTAGAGACAGGGTCTCCCTATGTTGCTCACACTGATCTTGAACCCCTGGGTCAGTGTTCCTCCCACCCCAGCCTCCCAGTGTTGGGATCACAGGTGTGAGCCATGCACCCGATGAGATTTAATGAGTTTCTTTTTTTCCTTATTTTTCCTTTTTTTTTGGCCAGGTAAGTATTAATGAATTTCAAAACTAGAATATGATGCCTTACACTTGTGATCTTCATACTAATCCACAATATTCAGTAAATCTCAGTTGCAAGAGAGAAGAAAAGCTGAATTCTCTGTTTTCATGACAATTAAATTAAATATAAATTACTAGATGCCCAATTTCAGTGACATAACAGCCTTCTCATCCCACTCCCCTTCTATAATTCTGAAGATTTGGTGTGGAATGAGGTCAGTCAGCCAAAATTTGCTTATAAACATACTTTATTGTACAGAGACAGTGGATACTGAGAATGATCAAGTAAATGGAATTTTGAACAGGTAAAGAGGAAACAAAGAATTAAAGTGTCCCTGTGGAATAGTGCAAGATAGGAGTGCCCCACCCATAGTGTTATCTACAATAGGTACTCAGGGGAAAGGACCCCAAGGAGTCAGACCATGAATGAATGACCAGCACAATTCTATGATCAAACTCTACCTCTCTACTTCCAGCCAGGCATCTCAACAATCAAGTTCTATTTAAATCATTCGCTCATGTCTTCCTTTAGTCATGATGAAATAATGAGAATATCATAAGGAACAGAAGGCAATGCATTGGTCACGCCCCTTGGAGAGGCTGGTGGGATGTATCCGGATTAATCCTTACTGGGGGTGCTATTTTCCTGCATAGTCTTCTTTATCCAGTCAACATAGTTCTGTACCCGTGTGTAGAGCCCATAGGTCCCACACTGGGGTCCCCAGGACACCAGGCCAGCTACGTAGAATTTGGCCTTGTCATTGGGATCCTGTACAGCAAAGGCCCCACCACTGTCCCCTTTACAGCTATCCATGCCCTTCTCTCCTCCAGCACAGATCATGTTAGGAGTGAAAACATAGGCCCCTGCATCTGCTTTGGGGTTTTCCACTTTCACTTCTCTACACTTTCTTAAAGGAGCTACAGGTAACCTTGCCGCTTTGAGGCGAAGAGCGCGATCTCTCTTCTCTGTTCGGCCCCAGCCTGCGATCAGTCCCAGGTCCCCATCCATGAGGTTGTAGTCAGCAGAGGTGCCTGGTAGGCAGATGGGGGCGACGGTGGGTCCCATTTTCACTGGGTCTTTCAGCTGCACCAGTGCAATGTCATTATCAAAATTTGTTTGTGCTTCTGGGACTTCCAGCAGCTTCCATCCCGGATGAATAAACACATGCTCAGAAGTCAGCATCTTGCATTTTGCCAGCCGTGAGGTCTGCACTGAGGTGGACCCAACATACATTGTTGGCTCCTGGTTTCCCTCCACAACATGAGCTGCCGTCAGCACCCAGTACTCATCAATGAGCGCTCCACCAGCCCACGGGTTGTCAAAGAAGACTTGCCAGGGGAAGTTTTTAATATCTGCATCGGATCCGCCAATTATCCTCTGTTTTTCTTCAAAAGGTTCTCTGGGGACTCCACAGACTAGGAAGGAATTAAAAAAAACACGGGGAAGGAGCAAGAAATGATACTGGCTTCCTGCAAATCCTCCAACCACTCAAAGAATTTTACCTGCTAGGTTGCAGGGTTCTCTAGTACAAAATGGTCAACCCTATTTGGTCAACAAGCTCAATACCTGACCCACCCTGGTCTTACCTAAACACCCTACTTTGCCGATGTCATAGCAGGCTCATGGCAGAGCTCAGTTAACCAGAGGCAGTGTGTGAATCACTGAGTCCAGATGCACTAGTGCCTCACGCTATCCACAGTGTGACCCACAGCCCCTCTGGAGGCAGGGGTCCCCCTTGCACCTCCCAACTCGGCATGTAAGGCCAGTGCCCAACCAAGAGCCAGTGCTGGAAACCCTTTTCTCACACAGATGGTGGGGGAGGGAAGCTTTCTGCCTTCTTCAGATGCCCAGATCAAACTTTAATCGCCTTCTTTACTGGAGTCCTAGTTGCACCTGAGTCCCTCCTAGTAAACCACAGGTCAGCCTAGGAAGTAGAGAGGGGTCCCTTCTTTGGCCTTGACCTCTCACTCCCAGTGACTGGTGCCATTACCATTCAGTTATACTAATAACTGAATTCAAGTGAAGCTGCTTACCTAAATCCCTTGCTAGACAGCCTGGAGGGACTCCAAGTTGAGCACAACAGGCTTTGGACTTAGACAGACCTGGGCTCAAAGCCTGCCTTCGCAACTTGCTAACTCTGCAAACTTGCACCCACCCATTGACCAGTCAAATGAGACTAATGACACCTAGCTCACGGGGCTGTTACAAGGATGTGAATGAGATAATAAACACAACAAATCAGCTCGGTCTTCAGCTCTCAGTTACATCCAGGATGGTTATTATCCTACTGGATTTGCCCCAGCCTTCTGCTACCAAACCTTGATCTCGCTCGTTCCCTGAATCTTGAATTCCTCTATATCTTGTTGCCATGTAATTTTTTTTTTTTTTTTGAGACAGCGTCTCCCACTGTCTTCAAGGCTGCAGTGCAGTGGCATGATCTCAGCTCACTGAAACCTCCGCCTCCTGAGTTCAAGCTATTCTCCTGCCTCACCCTCCCAAGTAGATGGGATTACACGTGCCCGCCACTACACCCAGCTAATTTTTTATATTTTTAGTAGAGATGGAGTTTCACCATTTTGGTCAGGCTGGCCTCAAACTCCTGACCTCATGATTCACCTGCCTTGGCCTCCCAAAGTGCTGGGATTACAGGCATGAGCCACCATGACCAGCCATAAACTTTTAATATAATAACTAGGTTATTTAACTAGTCTTGTTTCCGAATGTTGATTACTCACTCTCAGTTTTCAGGCCCTGTTTTTAGCAGTTCTGTATCTTCTTGTTGCAGCTACATTACCAGACACCAACTGTCGCTGGCTGACGCTTATATTTCCTTGCAGTCGACCTGGCTTCAGTGTAGCTGAGGAGGTTCCCCACAGCCCCGACAGCCCACGGCACAGTGCTACTGCCACCTCACTGAGCTGGACTCTGGCAGGCCACTGTTCAGTCCTTTCCCAAGAGGGTTACAGCTGCTTTCAGAAGGTGACTCCCATTCACCCATGCCTATCATCTCTCCCCAAGCCTCGGCCCTCCTTACCTGGAACACATTTCAGCAGCTCTGGGCTCAGCGCCTCATTCACCCAGCTCCCATTACCAGCACACTGATACTGCCCTGGAATAGCACAGAGAACACAGGTCACACTCACCACCACATCTTCCCTCTTCCATCCACCCCACAGCCCGCTCTGTTCCTTCAGAGCCTCAGCTCCTCTGGGATTCAAGTAGTAAATCAGATTAAATCAGCCAGAAAAAAATATCTTCCTCCAAACAATCCCTCAGGCCTCTAGCCCGCCAGGGGAGACAAAGGGAACATCTCCAAAGCAGAAGGAAAGAAGGCATTGGGAAAGTGGGAAAATAAAATACAAAGTAATACAGCCAGGCTCGGTGCCTTACGCCTGTAATCCCAGCACTTTGGGAGGCTAGGGCAGGTGGATCACGAGGTCAGGAATTTAAGACCAGCCTGACGAACATGGTAAAAACCCTGTCTCTACTAAAAATACAAGAATTAGCTGGACGTGGTGGCATACACCTGTAATCCCAGCTACTCAGGAGGCTGAGGCAAAAGAATCACTTGAACCCAGGAAGCAGAAGTTGCAGTGAGCCGAGATCACACCACTACACTCCAGCCTGGACAACAGAGTGAGACTCTGTCTAAAATAAGTAAATAAATAAATAAAGGCAATGCAGAGAACGTATTAGTGTCTCACTCAGCCCTTCTACGTCAAGAAAGCCAGTCAGTGTAGCTTGCTGGCTTGAAGCGGGAGGCGTTGCTCCTGTGGGCTGTACATGAAATAACTGGTCCAAAGGTGGGTAATCCCATGGAATGGATGTTATAGGGGAATTCCTACAGCAGCTGTGAAGCTGAGCTGGTGACCTCTATGATTCCCTGTGACTGGTGCTGCCCTGAGCGTGCCCTGCACCATATGAAAAGTGTATCTTTAGATGAAGCCAAGGGGATGAACACTGTCTGTCCTATCGCCTTCATTTGTCCGCAGACTCTCTCCGGCACAGACAGATTATGCTATTCACCCTCCAACACCTTCTCACTCTCTCTCCTCCAGTAGAAGAAACCTACCATTTCCTCCATTTTCCATGTAGTAATATGGCTCCTCACAAGTGCAGCGGGTAACAGAACCAAACAAAGTGCTCTCTGGGTCTTCAACTTTACCATTCTCAGTGGATTCAGGAATGCCACAGACGAAGGAAGGAGAGTGATAGTCAGGACCACTCTTTCCTCCAAGGAGGAGTCATGGGGCCAGTTTCATCCTCACTGCTTCCCCACCCCATATCCACAGGCACACCTGGGATGAACCTCCCCACACCAGCCTCTCTGTGGCCATCCTCCCCAACTGGCATCTCTCAGCTCTCTGGCCCACTGAGATGCCAACTCAGATGGCCCCATGAAAGCCGTAGTGAAGAGCCTGGTTCTCAGTGATTGGTGAAGGCCCAGTGGAAGCCACAAATGCACCCACATGGGGCTATTAACTCGACCTATCCCATAGCCCCTTTCTTGGAAAGAAACTTGCCAATCTAGTTGGCCTGGGAACAGATTCGGGGCTGGACTAGAAAAGCCTCCATGACTGGCTTCCCTTCAAAAACCCAACCCACTCCTTCACATGCCTAAGAGGAAACCATGCATCTGAATTTGGATGTGCTGATCTTTCCATTCTCTCTGAGAGAAAAAGAAAGACTTCCACTTTGAAGAGACACGTACGTTGACATTTCAGTTTGGAATTACGCCACTTTCCATTGCTTTGACAAGTCGAATGGAAAGATGTTGCACCAACACGTCCCTGGAGAATAATAAACATCACCACTTATTTCTGAAGAGAGATATGGGAAACCAAATTCAAAACTGGAATTGATCTCTGGCCTTGGATCAATGAGGAGTCCTCACCACAAGAAGCTTGGGAACGTCTTAGCAGACTGACCCAAAGCACCCAGGAGATGAGGCTGACAGACAGCTCTGCCCCAATGTGTCAACTCCCCTTCCCCAAGAAGACTGAAGGCAGAGAGAGAATGCCAAGCTGGCCAGGGAGCTCCATGACTCACAAGGGAGAACTACAGATCTTAAGCTGCCGTGTTTATGGGAAAGGCGTTATACCTTGATCACACACTTACGTTGGTAAACCACCGGACAATTTCAGTCTGCTCATCCTGATCTGGGGCCAGGGACTGGGGAGAAGCCAAGATGGTACTTTACCTCCACAACTTTCAAACCCATCCAGACAGGTTATCCGCACCACATCTCTAAACACATATTTTGCCTTCGCAGGCTCCCAAACAGAAGTGGGAGTTTCTTCTTTGGGACAGGGCATTGCTTGAAAGAACAGAAGCTGGGACAGGAAAAAAGAATTACTAAATAGTTGAAGACTCTCATTCTATTTACATCATTCTCACACTTTCTAAAATCATCCAGTTGTCCTCATTCCTGATGCTTAACATTCCAATATAGCAGATGTCTAAAATCATATGGCATTACCAACTAACCACCCCCAAACTGTCTGCACTCTCAGGTCTAGTTAAAGGATTACTAGGGGTTGAAGCACTCCTAGCAACCATTGACTGGTTTAGATTTTCCTGAGGAAGTGAAGTATCTCAGGATACTATCAGAACAACAATCTATCTGTTTTTTAAATTATTGTTGTTTTGTTTTTGTTTTGTTTTAGAGACAAAGTTTTGCTCTGTTGCCCAGAGTGGACTCAGACTCCTACTTCCTGGGCTCAAGGGCTCCTCCTACCTCAGCCTCCCCTGGTAGCTGAGATCACAGGTGCTTCCAGTGTGCCTGGATCATCTACCTGCTTTGATCCTACATTGTTTGGGGACTTTGGTATCACCAACCAAAGAGGTACTTCTAGGTTACTCACGATCTCCATGGTAGCGAAGTTTCCAGCCCTTGTTTTGCCCCGTTAGATCAGTTTGGAAGATGATATCAAGAACATTACTCTTGGTTTCAATATTTAGTGGCCCAGGGAATCCACGACCGCAGTAAGGACCAAATTGCTGATCTCCTGCAACAAACTGAATGAAATGATGAAATCAGAAGAGGGAAAGAACTAAAGGAAAGAGGTAAAATTGGAAAATGGGAGATAAAAATAAGAGAGGCATTAAATGTCACATAAAATAAGAAGAAGGAAAATAAGGGTCAGGAGAAAAGATAATTTTATCTTCAGGCTGAGTGCAGTGGCTCACGCCTATAATCCCAGCACTTTGGGAGGCCGAGGTGGGAGCATTGCTTGAGGCCGGGAGTTTCAGGCCAACCTGAGCAACATAGCAAAACCCCATCTCTGTAAAAAATAATAATAATAATCACAATAAAAATGTTAGCTGGGTATGGTGGCGCACGCCTGTGGGCCTAGCTACTCAGGAGGCTGAGGTGGGAGGCTTGCTTGAGTCCAAGAGGTCAACGCTACAGTGAGCCTTGACTGCACCACTGCACTCCAGCTTGAGCAAAAGAGCAAGACCCTGTCTCAAAAATTTTTCTTTGTCTTCAGGGAGAGATCTCTTTGTGTAAGTTGAGGGTGGGGGTATTAATCAACCGTCACGCACAACTAAACTGTCAAGGCAGTTTCCCTCTGAGTCAGCTGGTTCCACATCAAAATCTTCTCTCCGCACAGTCACCACCACTTGGAACTCTTCCTCCAGCCGGATCTGGTATTCGCACCTTGAGTTCTCTGGATACGGTTTGGGATAATTGGGACTTGCAATCTCCCCAGTCAGTGCAGTGAATACATCCCCACTGC